ATCCTAAACCCTAAACCTTATATGAGCTATAGTCTAAACTCCAAGTATCCCCCTTAACAACCCCTATAGTACTCCCCTATATAATCCCCTATATAACCCCCTTTAAGGTGTTTAGATTATGGCTCATAGAATCCCCCTGTGAAGGAGGTGAAGTGAAGAAACGCGCTGCGCGTTGCTGCCTTCTTCCAGCTTTAGGCTGTTCGGCGAGCACGCAGAGCAAACCTGGGCGATGCTTGGCTTTCAAAGGTTTGGGTTTAGGGGTTTTAGGGTTTAAGGGGGCTTGGGTTTGGGCTTAGGATTTAATGGGGCTTTGAGTGTAGGCTTTAGGGAACTTGGCTTTGGGCTTCAGGGGTCGGCACCTCATCTCTCGGGGTACGTCAGGTTATCAAAGTGAAGACATGGACGTGATGGTTCAGGGTTTGGGGTTTAAGTTTAGGGTGGCTCTGGGTTCGCTTGGAGGGTCAGGAGGACTTAGTAAGTGGCTCAATAGTGAGGCTAGGGTTGCTATATGCTTTATAGGGGTTATAAACCTACTTACTTAGCCCCCTGACCCGCGAAGTAGCATCTAAACTTAGAATTTAGGTTTTAGGACAGCCAGCGGACCTGTTTGGGCTTAATGAAGGATGCGGTATGAGATGCGAGTTCTTGATCTCTTACAAGGAGACGCTGCACTTACTCCTACAAAATTCGTAGTAACGGCTTTTCGGGTATACAATCCCCTAAGCCCTAAACCCTAAACGCTAAACCCTAAACCCTGAATTCTTGCTAAAGGGCCCTTGGGAAGTCGAAGTTTGCTGGCTTTACACTCTATGGCCATGCCTTCAACAAATACGCCGCAGCAACACACCAAGAAATGCCCTGTGGCTCCTACATGGTCCCCATTCCCCTGCTCTATCCCTTCCAAAATAACTACCTAAACCCCACAAGTATGTATCACAATAGCCCTAAACCCATGATAAAAGCCATAAAGGCCATTATTGTACATACGTTTGGGCCCCAGGTACTCAAATCAGCTTGCGTCGGGGAAGCTGGCGCTAAGCATCCTCTGTTTTTTGTAACCACCGCTTCAGGTTCATGTAGACCCCTGATTAATGAACCACCTCCTTTTGAGTGCCAAAAGATTCGGATCCCCATTACAATCCCCATGAAGGGGACGGGGTTTATTAATCACGAATCTGGGTTATGCCGCTACCTGGTGTAAGGCTTAAAAGAGGCTTCAATATTCTCATGGTGTGCACCTTAC